ACAATGCAGCTCAAACAAAAAAAAGGTTCTCCCCTCATTGATCATTGTTTCACTAAGCTATCAGTCAAACCATTGGCTTACCTTCTAACTCATCTAAACCTTACACCAATTTCCCTTGTTAGACTCCATATTTGATATTTCTCTCACAACTTGTGCACGAGTCTAGATTCCCAGATTTCCCACCTGCACCCATCCTATTACCATCCTTGAGTTGCCCTCCACAGCAATCTGTTGGAGGCCCAACTGTTTAGCCAATCTCACGCCTTGAAGGAAGGCCAATATCTCATCTCCTACTGAGTCTCCCACGCCTATAGGCCCCGTGTATAGATTCAAAATTCTTCATTCTCCATCTCTTAAAGCTCCCCCCCACCCCCGATGGCCCTGGATTATTGATGAAGCCCAAGATGATATGCAGGCCCAAGTGGTGGCCCAAGATCAGACCCAGACACGTAGACTCGATGCCCCTATCCTCCGATCAAGTTTGTCTATTATAGAAGGCCATGCCATCAGAAATAACTTTCATCTTCTCTTTCTCTCTCATATTGTATAAATAGGAGGAATTTCAAATGAAAAAGGCATGTGACTTACCATTTGATCACTCTCTTCTTTTCTCTGTCTCTCTCTCTTTTAAATTACCCCTGCGGTAGGTAGCTCCTATCAAATTGGTATTAGAGCCTTCACTAGCAATATCTAATTTGAAGTTGAGATTCAACATAATCTAATCAAATTTGGATAATTCAAATATCATAATTGGTTGAATTTGGATATCCTATTCATATCGTTTATGTAATCAAATCAAATTCGGATATGATCTGATTCAATTCAATAAATATCCAAATTTGGTTGATTATTTAATTCTTATTATATAATATATAAACTATTTAAATTATATAAATAATTTATATATATTTATATATTTTATATAAATAAAATATTTATTAATTACCTAAAATAATTAATTGGTCAAATTCGAATCTTATCAAATATTCTAATATATAATCGAATTTGAATTTGAACATTGATTTTCAATATCTATCGGATACTGAATTTTCTAATCGAATTCGAATTTGAATATTGTTTAATTTGATTTCCATTTACACCCCTAGGAAGATCATATTGACAAGTTAGAGGTGGAATTTCACAAGGTGCCAGGATACCTTTGGGAGATCAATGAGGTTCTTCCCACCATTATGACAACTCAATATAAGAAGATTTCTTCCTCTTCCATTTGTGACAACATAAAGGAAAGCTCGAGCTAGGGAAGTGGAAAGCAAATCACGAACAACTTCAATTAAATAGTTAAATTAGACTTTCTAGTAATTACCAACAATTGCCAAATTTCCTAGAGGGTTTTTTGCATAAAAATTAACAAAATTTGTTGTATTGGAAAAATCAGATACGTTTCAAAATAAGTTGCAAAAGTCGATAGTAGGAAGAAAAAAGTTTTTAGTTGGACCAAATTGCCCTTGGTTTAAAAGTTCACCACTCTCTCTCTCTCTCTTTCTCTCTCTAGGGGATTCTTCTTGCTTTTCCTTATCCTTTTCTTCTCATTATTTCCTATACCTCTCTCCCCCAATCTCCAATTTATCTCTCCCATAAGCAAACCTACTTCATGCCTCTTCGTGCCATTTTTCCATGCCTCTGTTGGTTATTAATTCGCCTCTTTATGCTCAAAGGATCGATTTCTTTGAAATAACATGTTATGCTGTTGAGGGCGTTCTATCTTTCTATCTGTGTGCTCATTGTTTCTAACTTCTTAATGGAATATAAATCCCACACCACCTTGTATTGGCAGAGGTCCCATCTGACGTGAATTCATTGGTAAAAACCACCCTTATTGGATTCTACCTTTAGCATAAATTTTTGTAGAAATCTTAAAAATGATGTCAATACAGGTCAAACAAGTTGTTAAAACTTTGGTACAAGAAATCACTTCACTTGTGCATTATTGCGTGGAAAAGTTTAGGCATTCGGTTAACAACTTGACAACAAGCAGTGCTTCAAAGGGAAAAAAATTTAGGCATCATCCAGCAATAAACAGATCGAATGGTGTTTTACAAGCTTGGCAATAATCTAGTATTATAAAGACTGGATGGTTGCCTGTAGTTTTGAATCATCAATTGCGATTGCAAATATCTATCACTTAGGTGACAATATAGTATTTACACTCGCAAATTCATCTAAAATTCAACAGACCACAAGGTTTTATATAATTCTCACAACTGTACAGACCATTTGGTATAGTGGAGACTAGATGGTGTTTTACAAACTTAGAAACCATTCGTCATTACACATGCTAGATGATTGCTTACAATTTTGAGTCATTAATTATAGTTATAATCATCAATTACACAGGTGATTTAACACATTTAAAACCAATTAAATCACATGGTTATATATGATTCCCATAGACGCATAGACCATCCGGTATGGGGAAGACCGGATAGTGTACTATAAACTTAAAAACCATTCGAGATTGAAAAGACTGGTAATTTTGGAACAACATTTATAGTTGCATACATCTATCTCTCGGATGGTTTAGTTATACTTACACCATCAAATGCACCTAGAACCCAATAAACCACAAAGTTTTGTATGGTTTTCACAGGTATATAGATCATCTGGTATAGTGGAGATTGAATGGTGTTTTATATATCTAGAAACCATCTGGCATTACACAAGTTGGATGGTGTTTCACAATACTAGTCTAGTGAATGAGGAAGCTTCATCTTCCTTGATCATTTGAGATGAGCAGCATGTGCCTTTCACGAATTAATGAGGCAAAACATCCTTTACCGTTCTAGTAGTCTCCCTGGCTACAACAACATGCAAAGTTGTGAGACAACGATGAACTTCTAGGCTTTTTACTCTCTAGTAAGTGTAGAGGGTATTCTTGTGGGAGATATTTGTGGTTGACTACACGAATCCTATCTCCCCATTGTAAAGGGCTCAAGCTATGCTTTTTGCAAATATAGAAGCCTCCAACTTCATTTCAACATACAAGAAAAATACAAATAAATGATAGAGAAATAAACATATGCTCTATCAAAGTAAGAAAAAGGAGATACAAAGAAAGATCTAAGCTAATGGGTGGGATTTTAATAAGGGGCAATTTGGTAAAAAATAATAAGCTTTTTATACAACTCACTATTTTTGCAATTTTTTTTCCAAAGGTATATGATTTTGTCAATAGTTGTAATTTTGTTAATTTTTATGCAAAAGCCCTTTCCCGGATCTTTAGAGCCAAAAGAATTTTTCTTTTTGAAAATAATGAGACCCTAGCACCTTCTTTTTGAATATAATCAGATCCTAGCACATTAGCGTGTACTATTATCAGTGGAAACCAGCTGGCCCTCTAATCTAGAGCTTCCCATGCCACTGGGAAACCATACAAGTACCCTCACTATTAGTAGCTTGGAAATAGAAAAGATAGCCAAAGAACTACTTGATATGGACATAGCTCTAGTCCTTTTTTTGCTCTACTACTCCTTGTTAAAAAGAAATACAGTACTTGTTGGATGAACTAAACACACACAACATAACAGTAAAAGATCTAAGCTATCACCAAATCAGACTTCACTACAATAACATTTAGAGGCATTTGTGGTCTGGTGATCCGGTTTAGAGAATATCTCATACCAAACCAATAAATTATGATTTGAAAAATTCTCAAACCAAATCAAACCTTTTTATTACGGTTTTGTGTGGTTTCTAATATGATTTGAGGACTTTAGACCTGTTTATATTCACTTGGACTGGTATAGAACAAAAAAATTAACTAACTGAAAGGGGTGAGGGCATCGAAGAGAAGAGAGATATATCAATTCAATTATTAATTAAAAGTTAAAATTAAAATTAGAAGTCTTTAGTATTTAATCTTTATTATCATTTTATAAAATAAATATATATTTATAATTTAAAGCTTAAAATGTTCAGTATTTTGTTATATATATAATTATATATATCATTTATATTATATTAATGCGGTTTATGGTTTAGTTTGGTGTATAAAGTTTAATAAAACAAATCAAATGATAACACGCTTGTTCAAAACTTTAAAACCAAATTAAATTGTTTTTTTTTATTATAGATCGAAATCAAATCGCAAATTCAGTTTGGTTCAATTCTGTTTTACAGTTTGAACCATACAATAAACACCCCTAATAACATTTTTGGTCCATTTGGGCCAACCGATTCTCCCTCTCTACTTTTTAGTCCATTATGAATGAGGTATTTTGCCCCTACCTACACCAATATATATACCAGAATTAGGCCTAATCTTGGGCTTATGTTTCAAGTCTGGAACTTGACCGAGCCCAAGCCTAGGCTATAGCCCTTAGCGCTTATCATGTGCCCGATTTGGCTTGACCCATGTCACCCTTACACCCAAAAAGGCCAGTGGGTCACTAGTTCAATTGTCCCTAATAACACTAATAACACTATTGAATTTAATAACACTAATTTAATCGCGTTTGTGTTCACCAGTTTGACTATCCGATTTGTGTTCATCGGTTCACTGGTTCACCCAAAAGGTCATCAGTTCACCGGTTCAACTGTCTGATTTGTGTTCTACAACACTGTCCCTAATAATACTATTAAATTTAATTGCGTTGGGTTAGAATGAATTCGATTGATCCAAACCCAATTAAGGGTGGATTTAAGTTGAGTTGAACTGAATATTTGGCTATTCGAATTCGGTTTGTTGAAATTGTGTTAGGCTTGAACTTAAGCTCGATTTCGAACTAGAGACTTGAACTTGAGCTCGGCTTGTTTTAAAGTTTGCAAGTTCGAGCACGATTCTGTTTAAACTTGATTACAAACCAATTTTTTTCTAAAAAATAAAATTATACATATAAAAACATTTTTTATTTTATATAAAAATTATTTATTATCATACATATAAAAAATAAAATATTTTATATAAATTATTATTATATATAATAAAAATTTATTTATTTATTATATTAGACTCGACTAGCAAACGAGTTTCGAAAGCTTTTTTGACGAGACAACTTCGAATAGGTCGTGAGAAGCTCGGCTCGTCGGCACCCCGGGTCATTACAAAAACGACTCGTTGACATCCGTAACTAACGCATGTAGATTAGATGAGACTAGAACGAGCGAGCGAGAGAGATGGAGACGGGTTTCGTGGTAGTTGAGAAGGTCCAAGGCAAATCAACTGTCACTCGTTGCTTCTCAAAATATCCCCTCAAATTCATAATACCCAGAAAGGTTCGTTTCGATTCTTTTTTTGAAAGCGTTGATCATGATTTTATTGGTCAATCACTAATCATCAGAACCATCTGATTTTCTCTACCCTGCTGATGGGTCTTAGGCGGGCTCCTCCAAAGCTGATGTTGTGTGGATTTACAGTCTCACCTATGGTGGGGGCATAGTTTCTGTATGTCCCTTTCCCTCCCTCTCTGTCTCTGTCTCTCTCGCTCTCCCCCTCCTCTGTTTCTCTCTCTAAATAGTATATTTTAACTAATTTTCTTTCGTATTGGGTATAGGGAGACTACATTTCATGTAGGCTGACTATCGGAGATGGCTGCAGCACCGTCTTAACAACGCAGGCTTCCACTAAGGTTTAGTGTTTTTATCACGACTTTAGTTGACTTTTAGTTTTCTATATTGATTATATGTCAGATATACGGTTCTAAGTTGGGTTTCCTTGTTGCATTTCCTCAGATCAATCTTATTTTTTATTCCTGAATCTCTTGATGGCTTGTTTTAATTCCATTAGTTCATCTTTAGTTGCTGGGATTTTCTGAATTTTTCTGGGTTATTTTTCTTTAATTATTTTGAAATCATAACTTAATCCTGGTTCAGGTATACAAGTCAGTGGGGTCGAAATGTTCGGAGCAATTCTTGGAGGTAAAATTTTCCTTAACCTAATTGAAAAGGGAAGGAAGCACAATTGTTCCCTTTCATGTTTTGTAGATTCATTATCGATCAAAAAATGTTTTGTAAATTCATCTTTGATTGTAAACCAACTGGTTATTAGAGATGTTTATCAGTAATGGTGGCAAATTTATGCCATGCAGTAGGCGCAAATTGGAAGCAATGCTCTTCTGGTTGTCATTCCAGATCCAGTGACATGTTTTTCTACAGCAAGGTACCATCAGAAGCAGGTCTTCAGAGTGGTTTTAGACTCAAGCTTGGTCATTGTTGATTGGATTACAAGTGGGCGCCATGAGAGGGGTGAAAAATGGAACTTTGAGTTCTATAAGAGCATCAATCACATCTTCCTAGAAGAAGATCAGCCTCTATTTCTTGATTCCGTAATTTCCTTATTTTCAATAATGCTTATGAATGTTATTACTTCTTAAGTGGTGTTTGCAGTAACAATTTTGAAGTTCTTGTATGTCTTCTTTTCCTTGGGAATTGATCATTTTTGTCAAATTTAGATTAGATTCTAGCAATAAACTATCACAAAAGAGATCGTTGAAGTGCACTACATAAGGCCATTATTATGTCTAAAGTTTCTGCTGTTTTTTATGTATTTATTTTTTGATAAGTAAGTTTCTGCAGTTCTTAGTTAAGACCTTCTAAGAAGAAATCATCATCCACATTTCAGGTTCTAATATTAAGCATTAAGCAATTCTTCTACTAATAAAATTAGAAAAAGAAAAGCCATTCTTCTGGTTTGATACCTAATGAAGTGATAACATAATTCTTAATCTTACAAAGGTAGTAAAATATGTCTGTGTGTGCATGCTTGTGTGGGTGTGTGTTTTGGTATTGTGACCATTTCTGAAAGAAAAAGTATGAGATCCAAAACCTTACTCCATCCTGGAGATTTAACTTTATAGATTCACATCCTTTCATAGCTTGGAACGAACACTTTTGAAGCTTTCAGCACTGCTTTCAGAAATGTTGTCTGTATTGTTTCTTGTTCTTAGCAAATGATGTAGTTCTTTTTTTCTATTTTTTTTTTTACTTCTGAACAAAATTAAACGGGAAAGGAATTTCTTCAAAAAGTTTTTATAGTGCGTTTCTCAAGCTTTCTTGCAAGCATCCAACCTTCCTTTCCCTTCTACCAGCACAGGCACAATGTAGTGGTGCACAAGGCGGGAATACAGGATGATACGATCTACAACCTTCATCTTGCAACTCAAGGGCTATAAAAACTGACAGTTAGTGGGGACATGGAATTGCCCATCAGGATAAATATGCATCTCTTGAAATTACAAACATATCTAACAATGATGAGCTAATATGTAATATCTCCTCATTGCAAGAAGCATAGATTTATTTAAAGTATCTATTGGCATCTGTGCCTGATTAATGGGAATGGTCCATCCAATGCATCTTAAATTCAAGGTTCTTGTTTTATTTCACAGTATTTTGGAGTTTAGAAATGTATTTCATTTCATAAGGCTTTTCCTATATAGCTTTATTTACTGAAGCAGGTGCTACTAGAGAAAGGAGGTTTTACCAGTATTGCTGAACGCATGCAAGAGTACCAAGTCATAGCAATGTTTATACTCATGGGGTATGTATCTTGTACTTCTGTTTCCCATTTTTTTTGTAAGAGAACTTACATATTTTTATAAATGATTTTCTTTATTTTATTAAAATTGAATGGTGACATGCATGATGCATTCGATTCTCATTTTTGCGTTGATGTAGACCCAAGTTGAAGAATGTTCAAAACCAAGTACAAGAAGATGTGAAGAGAATGATGTCTGACCAATTCTATGTTCCTTCAGGATGCCGCACGATAGTGGATTCTAATCATGTGCTAGCAAAACCAACCTTAATTGCTTCTTGCAGTACATTTGGTCCCAAGGTACATTTTGCATGTTTCTATGTCTTATAGGATCAACTTTAACTGTACTAGAACTTAGTTGCTGACTCATTTTGACTGGTGGCAAATGCAAACTGAGTTGGCATGATCACTCTCTAGTAGTCAAGTATAAGATTTTTACTATCTTATCTTTAGTGCAAATATGGCAATCTGAAAACTACTCAGATCATCCCTACAAAATAATCCTTTTTTAAACATGTTAATTGGAATCAAAATAACCCATTTTTTGTCAATTCAATTTTGATGTATTTCATTCAATACTTGAGTAATTCATTAAGATGATTAAGGACTATTGATTTCTACATCAGTGTTTTTTTTTTTTTTTTTTTGCTTTTTTAAAAGATGACTTTCATTAATAATAAAAAATGGGGCGGGGGATGTGACAAAATCTCCCATACTTCAACAGTAATATTAATTTTAATAATACTGTTGGGATCGATCTAAAAGCTACTCAGATCATCTAGGCTATAAAGCGGATGCTTGGCTTGGTTTTGGTGCAGGTCATAAAAGTTAAAAAAGAGTTGAAGGGGGATTTGGAGATGACGGTAAGAAGTGGGGAAATCTGTTGGAGACAAAAATCAAGGTGTAAGTGGTTAAAGGAGGGGGATGGCAATAACAAATTTTTCCATCTATTGGCAAACGAGAGGAAGAAAAATCTGATTCTAGGGTGGCGATTGATGGTGAAGAATTCAGTGATAAAGGGGAGATTGAGAGCATTTTAATCTCTTATTGGCTTTGTACACCAAGGTGTACACAAAGGCCTATGGTGGAAGGGTTACAGTGGGAGAAACTGCCCTCAGAGGTGGCGACAAGGCTTGAGGAACCTTTCTCTTTGGAGGAGATTAAGAGGGCTGTTATGGGTATGAGTGGTGATAATTCCCCAGGTCCGGATGGTTTCACTATGGTTTTTTACCATGAGTGTTGGGATTTGATTAAGGAGGATCTAAAAAAAGTGTTTGATGAATTCTATGAGAGAGGAAAAGTGGGAAAAGGAATGAATGCAACCTTTGTGTCGTTGATACCAGTGTGTAGGGGCTGCCTCTACAAATGTGTTCAGACCTATTAGCCTTAATTCAAGTCTTTACAAAATAGTGGCTAAGGTTCTTTAGGTGAGACTGAAATAGGTTCTTCATTGGGTGGTATCCAAGGAACAAGGAGCTTTTGTTAGGCATAGGCAAATTTTGGGTCAAACCCTAATAGCTAATGAAGCAGTGGAGGATTTTAGAAAATCAGGGAAAAAAAGGTTTTGTGTTCCAATTGGACCTGGAAAAGGCTTATGATCATGTGGACTTGAATTTCTTACGGCGAGTGATGGGCCAAATGGGTTTTGGTCAGAGATGGATAAGCTGGATGATGGGGTGTTTGGAGACAACTCACTTTTCAATACTGATTAATGGCTCCCCAAAAGATTTTTTCAAGGTTTCGAGAGGTTTATGACAGGGGGGCCCACTTTCTCTAATGTCGTTTACTTTGGTGGTAGAGATTTTCAGTAAACTTTTAAAGAGAGTGGATGAAAGGAATATCTTCAGGGGTTTTAGAATTGGGAGGGAAAGCCAAGTTGTGTCTCACCTTCAGTTTACAGTTGATACCTTAATTTTAGGTCAGTTTAGGGGGGTTCAAGATTGTAGGACTCTAAAAAAGATTTTAGAACTAGTTGGGAGAGTCTCAGGTATGAAAGCCAATTTGTGGAAATGTGGTATAGTGGGTCTTAGCCTGGAGAGTGTGGAGCTGGAAGAGTGTGTTGAAGTGTTGAGTGGCCAATTAAATTTCTAGGACTGCCCTTAGGCGGTAACCTAAGAGACGAGTCCTTTTGGGAGATCATTATTGAAAGGTTTGAGAAAAGGTTGGTGTCTTGGAAAAAGAACTACATTTCCAAAAGGAGGAGAATTACTGTGATCAAATCTACTTTGTCTAATCTCCCAGTCTAATTTTTGTCTGTGTTTAGGGCCCCAGGGAAGGTGGTGAGGAGGTTGGAGAAATTCATTATAGATTTCTTGTGGGATCCGGGGGATAGGGATAGTAAGAGTAGACATTTGTTGAATTGGGAAAAGGCGAGTAGTTCTAAAGAGCAGGGTGGTTTTGGAAATTGGTAGGATTCAAGAACAAAACATGGCTTTGTTAGGGAAGTGGTTGTGGAGATTCCCAAAGGAAAGAAAGGCTTTATGGCATTTGGTGATCAAAAGCATCCATAGGTTACACCCAAATGGTTGGGATTCCGGGTCTGCCAGGGGAGCAACCTTGAGATGCCCCTAGAGGTTGAGATTCCCAAAGGAAAGAGAGGCTTTATGGCATTTGGTGATCAAAAGCATCCATGGTTACACCCAAAAGGTTGGGATTCCGGGCCTGCCAGGGGAGCAACCTTGAGATGCCCCTAGAGGTCAATTCTGACTCTATTGCCTATTTTCATGCAAAATATAAGGTATGATGTGGTTTCAGGGAAAAGCGTAAGGTTCTGGGAAGATACTTTGGGGGGGGGCTCTCCTTTTTTGTCAAACCTTTCCAAGAATTTATAGGCTGTCCAACTATAAAAGCAGTTTAATTGTGGATTTGCTTACTGAATGCAGACAATGCTTCAATCAGGCTAGTCGAAGGTTGTGGCTGCAGGGGGTTCGACTATGGATGGGTTTGTGGCTGCAGGATGATGGAGGAGAATGCTGAAGGTTGAAGCCAAGGAATTTCTGCTTGAAGAGCTGAAAAACAAAGGAGGGGCGAGCTTGAAGATTAGGGAAGGGAAGAAGGCCACAGTGCTGTTGCAAGGTATGGAGGTGATTAAATGGTTCAGGGAGTATGTGAATGAGAAGGAATTGAGAACTCAATAAGGGAAGAGGTATGTTGTAGAATGCAGAAGAAACAGTAAAGGGGGTTATTTAGCTTTTTCTGAATATTTCGAGAAAGGAAGGAGGCAACTAGTCTGCTTTCCTGAAGGTAGACAGGGACTTGGATGGAAGAAAATCAATGGAATACTGGAAGAGTTTATCCAACATCTGGACACCTTGCGTTTGGATCTACTGAAGGAGAATGGAAAAACCAACAAAGTTTCAACTGAAGATGAAGACCAGGTCCAAGAGCTACTAGCCTTTGGACAGAACAGGCTGGTTGGCTATTCTAGGAGAGAAGAGTGGGAAGATAAATGTGTGGAATCCGGTTAGCAACTGGAGGAGAGTTGCAGACCTGCTAGTATTACAGATGATGTTAAAAGGGTTGTTTATTCTAACACCTTTTGAGAACAGTAAAGTGGTGCTTGATCTGACTGAAGATAAGTTAGAGCTCTCAGCTATCAGTTTTCAATCGGAATATGGTGCGATTACAATCTCTAAGTGGAACCCTTCATCTAACTCTAAAGAGTTCTTCACTGAGGACGAGGTGGTGGTATGAGTTCTAGGTCTGCCCTTTCATTTGTGGAAACAGGAAGTGGCCGCATCCATTGCACTGTTATGTGGTGGTCATCTTGCCAGAGCCTTTTGGGGGGACCTTCGATCAGCATCTCTTCTATTAAATGGAGTGAAACCAGAAGACATACCCAGAAAAGTGGAAGGCTGCTTCTACTCAGTTTGGCTGGCCTCCTCCATAGAAGCTACATTGTGGAGGGAGACTCGCAAGGAAGGGGATGAGAAAGTAGAAGAAGAGGCCTTACGTGGAACAAGGAGATTGGTAATCTCAAAGGTTGATGAATCCTTCACCGATTTGTGTAAGCAAAAACTGGAGACTTTAAAAGAGAAGGGGTAGATGGGTGGTCAACTACGTGGAGTGCAAGTTATCAGAAGGGAGGGTAGTAAATCTTATGCTTAGATGGTTAAAGGCGGCAAGAAGGATGTTTTAAATTTAAGTTATGAAGGAAGATTAAAGGTTTTAGACCAGTTCGAACCAAAAAAAGGGTGAACCTGAGCCGGGTGTCCTGGGCATTGAGTGTGAAGTGGTAAAGTCTCACGTGCCAATGCAAGTAAGCACGTGGGCCTCTAAAAATTGTTGGGCGTGTTAATGAAACCAAGGGTGGGCCGTGTTCTCAACTTAAGTCAGCCCAAATCAAGTCTCAATTAAAGAGGGCACTTGACTCACTTAAGTTACATGTGAATGGGAAGGGGGAGGCTCCAATAAATGGTAAAAACCATCTATTATCTTCTCCTTCAATCTCCTCTCGTATCCACACGCCAGTTGCAGGTTTGGCCACTTCATCGCTGCAATGGTTTCCGACCAAGAAGGTAAACCATCTTTCCCTGGATAGGAGGAATCCCAGAAGCATAAAACGGTGGGATCTAGACCTTGTTGAAGACAGTGATTACTTAGATGAAGAAGGTAGTGGTGTTGAAGATGCGACTGATACAGAGAGTTTGGGAAGTCTTGACCTGCAAGAAAACCTAGACATGCTCCAGGAAGGAAGTTTTAACACAGAGATCCTTTTTCTAGAAGGAAGCTCTCAAGAGGAAGATGCGGAGGTGAGGACGATTGGAATTTCAGCTTCGGCAGCCGGGCGTATCACCCCCCCTTTCCATGAGGGAGCAACTCCAACCTCTCAGACCATAAACGGAATCGGTACAAAGTCACAGGACTCTCCGATGATCTGTGAAGATAGGCTAGGAAGGAAGGAGAAGGAACATGCTTCTCCAGTGGTAAGAATAGACAAAGGTGAAATATTAACCTTAACCACTTCATTGCAACTGCCAACTAAAGGGATGGACGGGGCACCACCAGTAATGTCTTAGCCGCAAGCCTTATTTGCTCCTCTTTCTCCTACTTAGCAATTAGGTATGGGTGTCCATTCGGTTTTTGCTATTGATCTGTGTGTTCAACCTGTTGTAGATACTCTAATATCCCACTTGGGGCTTCCGTTAGGGGCAAACCCTAGGGAAAGTAGTTTTTGGTGTCCAATGGTGGAGAGGTTTCAAAAGAAATTGACTTCTTGGAGGAAAAACTATATTTCTTTAGGGGGAAGAATCATGTTGATAAGAGCCACATTAACTAACCTACCAACCTATTTCCTATCTGTGTTTAGGATACCACCTAGGGAAGCTAAGAAGCTAGAGAAGGTGATGAGAGATTTCCTCTAGGATCTGGGAGAAGGTAAGAAGGATCACTTGATAAAATGGGAGATCGTATGCCAGAATAAAGAGGAGGGGGGATTGGGGTTAGGGAATTTGATTAAAAAAATAAAGCACTCCTGGGGAAGTGGCTGTGGAGGTGGACAGTGGAGAGAGAGAGGCTCTGGCATGAGGTGGTGGGTAGTATTCATGGTTGCTTTGATAATGGGTGGGATGCTAGAGTATCACGGCAGGCAACCTTGGCAACTCCTTGGAAAGTTATTCATGGCATCCTTCCTTAGTTTCTTAGTTTTGTTAGATATGATGTTTGTAATGGTAACTTTGTTCTTTTTTGGGAAGATACCTGGGTTGGGGAGGCTCCATTGAAGGACCTCTTCCCTTCTTTGTTCCTTGTTTCAAGGTACAAAAAGGAGTCTGTCTCAAAGTTTTGCTCCTTTATGAATAATCCATTAACACCGAATTGGGATTTTGGGTTTCATAGAGGTCTAAGGGAAGAGGAAATTGTGTCCCTAACAAATCTGCTAAGCCTACTTGATACAGTGTGTTTGGACCCTTCTGAATCCGGCAAACGGATCTGGACACCCAAGCCAAATGGATCCTTCTCTTGCGCTTCTTTCTTTAAATCCATTACTCAATCTAACCCCACTCGGCCTTTCCCTTTTAAGGAAATCTGGTGTAGGCCTGTTCCCCCTAAGGTTTTGGCTTTTTGTTGGGAAGTGCATTATGGGAAAATAAACACCTTAGACATTCTACAAAAGGGAAGACCTTATCTTTGTCTTTCACCTTCTTGGTGTATCCTTTGCAAGTCACATGGTGAGGACTGTAACCATCTACTAATTTCTTGTTCATTTACTGCAGAGTTATGGGAGTGGCTCTTCTCATTGTTTGGGTGCAGGTTGGTTAGGCCAGCGGATGCAAGTTTGATTTTTGGTCCTGCTTTCCTCCCTTGGTAGCACAGTAGAGGAAGAATTATGTGGAGGTGTGCAAGAGCAGCGCTGCTTTGGTCCGTGTGGGAAGAAAGGAATACTAGAACATTCCAAGAGAAGGAGAGAAACTTAGAAGAGATGAAGGACTGCATTCCTCCCTTGGCAGCACAGAAGAGGAAGAATTATGTGGAGGTGTGCAAGAGCAGCGCTGCTCTGGTACGTGTGGGAAGAAAGGAATACCAGAACATTCCAAGAGAAGGAGAGAGACTTAGAAGAGATGAAGGACTGCATTCTAAATAGGGTGAACTTATGGCTAAAATCACTGGACTTATTCCATCATTTCTCATTTAGTGATATTTGGAGGAATTGGTTAGCAGTGGCTAATTGTTCATCTAGAAAGACTAAAGTGAGTTTGACTTGGGAACCCCCTCCTGAAAATTTTTTGAAGCTGAACTTTGGCGGAAGTAGTCTTGGTAATCCAGGTCTGTCAGGGGTGGGAGGGGTACTGTTGAATGAGGCTGGGAATGTGGTTCTTATCTACTTGGGGCCCATAGGAGCTGGAAACTCCACTAGGGCGGAACTTGCAGCTGCTATCCAAGGAGTACAGCTAGCTGTGCGGATAGGTGTGGAACATCTGATAATAGAAGGGGACTCCAAGGTGGTAGTGGGRTRGCTACAAAACCYGRACTCTATAGTGTGGTGTTTTAAGAATGAAATTAAAAAAKTCAACTGCYTGACAAGGAGCTTGACAGTGAGAATACAATGGGTGGGGAGATCTGCAAACTCTATGGCTGATGGTCTTGCAAAGCAAGGGATAAACAGGGAAAGCTCATATTGGGCTCAATTGTAGATTGAATCTGTTCCCTGTTTTCTGGTTTCTGTTTTCTGTTATCTGTTTTCTTTTGTCTTTCTTCCTGCTATTAGGAGAGGACGCAGCTCGTGCCTCTCCATGGGAAGCTTGTAATTGCATTAATTCTCTATTTATGAATCTTATCTCTTTACTCATAAAAAAAAAATTGTGGATTTGCTTCCCTTTGGAGAGAATGGTTCAGCATGAGATTTGGGTCTAAGAAGGCCATTAAGGGATTTTGAAACAAATGAGTTGGTCTCTCTTGTAACCCTTCTTGAAACCTGTGTTTTGTCTTCGTCAGGGAATGATGAGAGAATTTGGATCCCTAATACAAATGGTTGTTTCCCGTGTGGCTCCTTTTTTCATTCCTTCCCATTTCAGAAGCTCAATCTTTCTCGGTTAAAGAGGTGTAGGGCTGCCCGATTCCCCTAAAGTAAATTTTTTTGTTGGGAGGCTGTTAACCAAATCATCAACACCCATGAGGGACTCCAAAGGAAATGGAAACACTGGACTCTCTCTCCTCATGTGTGTGTTCTTTGCTGGAAGAGCGGGAAAAATACAAACCATCTACTGTTACGTTGTCCCTATGCTTCTAGACTATGTCAGCTATTCTTTTTGCTGTTTGGAAAAACTCGGGTGGCACCAGATGCAGTAGTAGATCTTTTCAAGTAAAAATTTTTTTGGTGGCTCCACTCAAAGACAAAAGGTTGTTTGGCAATGCATTCGTGGGGCGGTGCTATGGGGTTTATGGTGTGAAGAAATGCAAGGATTTTTGAAGAAAATTGTAAACCTGTAGAGGAAGTGTTCGAACTTACCAAAGGGTAGCCCACTGGGATGTGATGTGTGGGCCTTTTAAAGGGGTTTCTATCAATTATCTGCTTAGGGAATGGCAGGTGGTGACAGAGTTTCAGAATACTCAGCAACAAAGGATGGTTGTTTGGTCCCCTCCTAATCTAGAGGTGCTCAGACTCAATTTTGACGGTTGCAGCCTTGGAAACCCAGGGCCCTTGGGGGTGGGAGGAGTTGTTAGAAACCCTGAGGGCAGTATCATTTTAAGTTTCTCAGGCCCGTGGGACAAGGAAATTCCTCTAGAGCTGAACTTTTGGCCTTGGTGCAGGGATTAAAGTTGTTGGTTAGGCAGGATCTAAGGAATGCAGAAGTTGGAAGGTGACTGTCAAATGGTTATAGCTTGGATGACAAAGCAAAATCAAACTCTTTGGAAGCTCAGATCTTTAGTCAGAATGGCTCAAGCTCTAGATGCTGACTTGAATGCTTCATTCAAGTGGGTACCTAGGAATGCCAATATTTTGGCCAATTCTCTGGCTAAGGCTGGGGTTGGGGAATCTTGCTTAGATTGGGGATGCCCAGGACTGGCTACTAATGTGTAATTTGTAATCAGTGCTGTTTCTTCTTTGTTGTTTTTTCTTTTTCTCTGTTGTCAGATGTGGATGGCCTCTTGGGAGGCCCAGTTTTGTATGCTTCTTTGGCTGTACCTTTGTGTGCAGCTTGTTTTTAATGAATTTTCTCCGTGTTATAAAAAAAAAAGAATCTTTATCCTTTACTTTTACATGTGCATAGCACATGCCCTTACACTAGTCTCCATAAGATAATATGCTTAAACTTGTCAATTTGACTCAAAAATCAAAATGACTTATTCTTGTCAGTTCATTTTTTATATATTTCATACAATACATGAGTGATTCATTGAGATTATTAAGACTATTTGATTTCCTGACCAGTGTTCTATTTTTAGTTAAAAGAGTTGCTAAGAGGTATGACAAAATCCCCCATACTTTTACAAAGTTTGAAGTAATATTAATATTTAATAATACCATAGGATTTCCACCTATTTTGGTTTTCATTTGTTTAATAATTGCAGCTAACCATGACAATAATATGGATCATAGTCCAATTATGAAACAGCAGATATCTGAATTATATGCTGGGTTATTGGTTCTTTTTCATGCAGGGGATAGGTATGGTTGTTCGAATAGCTGCCTTGTCTACTGAATCAGTTTACAAATTTCTGCGGCATCAATTAGCTAGTCTGGAGCCCCTGCTTGGGGCATCTCCATATTACCAAACATGTGTTTAACCTTCAACTATTATGATTGTTGCCGTAACCTTCAACTATTATGATTGTTGCCAAGCATTGTTGTAAGTTTAATCTCATTTTTTAAATGCAAATATATTTCTGCAAATTTTTGTTTCAAGTCATTACAAACGTTTGTTATGACGTTATGATCAATAATAACGTTGACCTTTATGTTTACTTACGTGCAATGTAACTGTAAGGGCCATTACCCAATGATACCTCAGCTATCTAGGAGCTTTGAAGGGGCAGATTGGATATAGACCTAACCTTTGGTGATTTTTTTATGAACAACATGGTCACTTTCAGACTTGAACTTGTGTTCTTAGATTTGTGCAATGACCCCTAATGTGCAAGAAATCTGTGACATTGAAACTGGTAGATCGATAGGAATTATCTGTGCTTTATGTTTGTTTTTCATTTAGTTACTGTAACAACTTCTGAAGCAGATTAGGCAAAAAGAGAAAAAAAAGGAAGGAATGGAAATGATTGATAAGTTTTCCCTGCTATAGATAAACTGTTAGTTTTAATGGTTGAAAGCCCTCTATATCTTATATATTTGCCATGGTGAAATCGAATTGACCTAGCTTCTAATCCTATCTCTTATTGGAGGAGAAATCAATTGGTTGTAACCTTTAAGGAGAATATCTTAAATGTCATAGAAAATAGTCAGGTTCAGTGAATCTAATTTAGCATTAGACAGTAAATTTTATTTTCTGAAAAAATGAGATTGGCTACAGGACTGGGGCACAACTATTTTATGTTGTACCAAGGATTTACTTTGTCCAAAAAAGTCATAAGTATTAACTAAGTCATGACTTAATAAAAGGATGCTTCAATTTTTCATTGTACAGTTTTGCATTATGTCAAATCTAGTTAGGAAATCATGCTCGTAAAAGAATGGACTTTCTAACTCTTTTTTTTTAAGATAAATAAAAAAAATTTATTAAAATGGGAAAAAACAGGATACAAGGAAAGGTAATAAGCAATCACCCAAATGAAATGAAAACACCGAAAGGACAACCAACTAAAGCTTAACACCTTTGTATGCCAAACCCCCAAAAATCCAATAACCTTGACAACCAAGCTCCAAAACAAGCAAAAAGCACCGACATGAAACAGAAAAAGAAACCTCAAAGCAAAAAAACCATACAGCACCCAAAACAAAACAGAACCCCCACCCAAGACCCATAGCTACAAACCAGACCCACAGTGGGATTACAAACTACTTACTAGTTTTTTTATTACAATCTTCCTGGTTTCTTCTGGCTGCACTTTTGTTTTTCCTTACTTTCTTGTTGGGTCCAAGGCCAAACAAACCTCCTTTTATTCTTGCGAAAACCTTTGAAGCTAGATCCCTAATATTGTTAATAATTTGATTTATAAGGAGTAGTGTGGATTGTTTATATATCAAAGGCTTATTGGTCCAAAATAATCACCAGAAGTGTCTTTTAACTTAGGAATGGTTGAGCTTCAGGGTGCTTTCCTTGAGGCAAAGCCTCATATTCCATTTAAAACATTCAACTCCACGTGCACAAGAAAACTTAATTTGGAGTAGGGGTGATAATGGGCCAGGCTGGGTTTTGGGCCTATGCCATTAAATACATTATACTTAATATGAAATAATTTATATTATGTGTCATTTTCACCAATACGTTCTGTTTAATTCCATATCCATTATTAAATTATTGGCGTTTAAATCATTTCTTACTACTACCCATATCCTTTTGCTCTACCCCTTGCTTTTCTAGCCCCTTCAACTTGTAACAAATCACTTCTTATGGGTGCTGTTGATATTCTTCTATACACATTTCTACCACACTCATTTTCTGGACATTTTTTGATCAATAACTGTTAATTTTATTAAAATAGAGATGATAATATTGATTGCAAAGTTATAAAGCAGTCAATGAGAGATAAACTCTTTTATCTCTCCCCAACATCTCTTTCTTTCTCATTATTACAACTGAGCCCAAAATATTTTCTCTCCCCACCCCTTGTTTGGCTAAAGTATCTGCCAATGAAATAACAATTCTTTTGGTCCATTGTAGTCTCACTTCTATGACTTTTTTTTATTAATAACCTTGAAATTTTATTAATAAGAGCAAATATTAGTAAGCACAACAGATAAAAGTACAGATCAAAGTCTGTTAGAGATAAAACCTCTTATCTCTCCCCAAAATGTCTCATCTCCCTTGCAGTTGTTCCCAAAACAAAGAACCTCTCATCACCCATCAGCTACAGAATTAGCACTCCACTTAACCCGCCGTAGCCTTACTTCCATGTCTCTAGTTAACCACCTGAATCTCTTCCTTTCATTATTATGCATCCATTTTTTCATCCCCTCATCTTATAACCAGTTGATCACCAATTTTGAATCTCCCTCAACAAAGAGCTTGCTGATGCTCATTGTCCTCGCCCTTTGTATGCCTTCCATTACTGCCATCACTTCTTCTCTCAATGAATCTTCTTCCTCCAGCTGTCCCAGAATATAGAGCAATGATTTTGCCCTCGAATACCTGAAGGTCCTGGATTTTTCCCTCCTCACTTGTTTTTTGTTAGCCATCTGATTTTCTTCCTCTCATTGCTGTAGCTCCACATCTTTGCCTCCTAATTTTGTGGCCAGCCCACAACCAGTTCAGAGTCTTCTTCAGTGACTAACTTTCATATATTCAAGTTCCTTTCCCTTAGTACTCCTTCCAGCCTAGCCGTAACTTCTGCCCTTAGGGAATCACCCACTCCAAGCAGGCCTGTTTATAGAGCAATTATTTGGCCCTCACCATCTTCCCCAAGGTGCCATCAAAATTGAGTTTAATGAATTCTCTTTTTGGTGTAGTATAATAAGGATTGCTAACAACCTTTTTTGAATATGAGTTTACCACTTCCTTCCACTTCTAAAGATATCATTTATTGAGATATGTGAGGGTGCTTCCAAAGATTTCAGCCAATATGCCACTCTAATTGTAATGCTTTCAATTATGGATTCTTTGCTTCTTTCCTTTTCCAAGAAAGTTCTTGCATTCCTTTCTTCCTATATTGTCCAGCTTATGCCACCACCCTTGTGCATCTCTACATAATTATTCTCATTTTCTTTGGCCAAGCAAAAGTTGGTGGAGCAAACAAACTAGACATGCTATCCAGAGGATTCCAACTGTACCTAAACAAAGAAAAAAACGAATCCCAAATACACACAACAAAAGTATATGATATTAATAATTGATAGCAAATCTCACCATTGGCTTTACATAAGACACTACTATGAGTGGATAAATACCACTTAGGTCTCTTCTTTTGGAGTAGGTCACAAGTATTAATTCTCTCATGGACAACTTCCCAACAAAAAGTTCCAACCCTTGGAGGAATAGCTTGCACTATAACTCCCTTAACAAGAAAAGGCTGCATAGAGTTAGTGGATAGTTGAGTTAAGGTCGTAAAGAAAGAAGTGCAGGAAAGGAGCCCGAAAGAGGACCCTAAATCTGTCTATATGATTTAGAAGGGATCAAGATAGATCCTGTCTAGGTACTCCATTTAGATGAGTCCTTGTATATTCCCCAAGTATTTGATTTTTTCTTGCTAACAAGACATTGACATGTTATCATCCAATTGGAATATCATGGTGAATTTAAGTTTCTGCAGTTCCAGAAATTTGGGCAAGAGATGGAGGATGCTTGGAGTTGGAAATGGGAAGCTGATGGTTTTTTCACTGTTAAGTCCATGTTCCTTAATTGTCAGTTCAGGTCAGAACATTCTGGCTAGGCAAATCTGGAACTCAACTAGCCCCTCTAGAGTAAATTTTCTGATTTGGACAATGGTTTTAGACTAGTGTCTGACCAGAGTGAATCTGATGAGACGTGGCATTCAGATTCTGGATATTTCATGTGGATTGTGTGGTGGTTCAGCAGAATCTATTGAACACCTGTCTATTCATTGCCCAGTTTCGGCTTATATCTGGGGGCATTTCCTTAAGGCCTTGGAAGTCAGTTGGGTAATGCCAAATTCAGTGAAGGAACTGCTGTATTGTTGGAAAATTGAGGGCCTCAGCAAGAAAGGTAACTTGGTTTGGAACACTATTCCAGCAGCTGTTCTTTGGACTATTTGGACTGAAAGAAACAACAGAATTTTCCAGGGTAAAGCTAAAACTCCAGAGGAAATGGTGCAGAAAGCTGTGGGCAAATTATTGTCTTGGGTGTCGGCAACAGAGGATTTTAAAAATCAGAATATGCGGTCGTTGTTTAGTTCTCAGTCTTGGATGAGATTGTAATCTGAGGTGGCCCTAGGCAGCCTCTAATGGCCTAGGCTATATTGTGTTGTTCTTTGATTTAATAAAGTACCTTACCTTTTACACACACAAAAAAAAAGGGCATGAGATGGAATTCTTTCCCTGTAGCAAAGAGAAGGAAAGATAAATGTTTAGGGGTAAAATGAACCGAAAGGATCCAATACATTACTCTATCTTCTTTAGACAGGTCCATAAGCATGTCTGTGAGATTCACAACACTGTACAAGGGGTGAAGCTCCACATGGTGAAAGAAATTTGAAGCAGCCTTCACAGATTAACAGTGTCAAAGATGAACATAGAAATAAACGAAGTGTCAAGATGAATGCACATATTTTCCATCATTGATCTTTTCTTTTGTTTTTTCCTTTTTTGGTCGTGATCAGTAACAATGATTGGCATAGCTTTATTTATGATGCACGAAAGGACTTTGATAATGTTACCACTTTGATTTAAGGTTTGGGGACAAAAGAAAACATTGGATCCTAATCAAGGGAGTCGATTAATGAAATACCTAACCATTCAAATTAGTGTTTGTGACAAAGACAAGCAGCCAAGCATCATACCCGTTCCATGTGATGCTGAAGACATACCTCAGCATTTAAACAAGTGATTTGGTGACAAAACTTAAAAATACCAGGTACTTTGTAAATTATTAATGCACATGATTTTCTGCAGTGTGTTGGATAAATACTTGACCTTTTAGACTGAAGCTTCTCTGTTGTAGAACATTTAGTATGTGATGCATGAAAGATGATGTGTGATTAGTCCGCATGCCAATGAGCTTGATAGAGTTTGAATGCATCTTTGCAGCATTGCGGCAAATATCTTAAGAATCTTACTTTGTTTACGCTAGGGCATACAGTGATTGTTGACATCAGATTCTGAGATTTGATCCTTGCGCACTTCATTAGTTTCGGTTACATCTGGTTTGTCTCTGTATTCTCTCTGATTTTGGAACCTACAGTGATGTATCTGGGAGTCCTACATCCCAGGACCAAATGTTGACCCACCAAGGTTGGTGAGTTACAGATCAAATGGTCATTGTTGTATGGAGCATATTTGGGCTTGGCGGCAAGCATGAATCAACCAGGTTTTTTTATTTGAAAGCATTTCTGAATACATCCCCACCAATACCTTTGCTGTATTGCAATTGCAGTTGAAAATGCTTATTGGGTCTTGCTTCTTTATCATTCCACTTCCTGTTAGGTTGGTCTCTTTTATATATCTGATTTTCTTGGGTAACTATATATATGATCTGTTCTGTAGGACGAGTTGAATTGTCGGTCTAACTTCCTAGGCAAATGCAATTGTTTTATGTCCGTTGGCACCCGGCAAGCAAATTGGCCTTTCTGTACACGCTCAAGGAGGCAGTTTTGGAACTTGAAAGTCATCTTTAGCTTATACCCATAATTACACTGTAAAAAAAAAAAAGGCTCGTCCATTAATTACGTCCTCGCCACAAAACGATATGGTTAATAGGGGTGCTCATAAAAAACCGAAAAACCAAACTGAACCGAGCAAATCAAACAAAAAAATGTAGTCAACTGAATCAATTGGTTTGGTATTTCTAGAAAACTGAAGAACCGGTTTTGTTTTTGGTTAACCTAGAAAAAAACAGGCAGTTAACCAAATCAACCGATATATATTTATATGTATATTATATATATATTTTTAATGTCTCACATGTTATCTCTATATTAAATAAATATATGTATTATATATAAATACATACATATATTATATTTATAGTTATTTATTTATATTTATCTATTTAAAAAATAATATTTATTCATAGTAATATTTTATATATTTATTTATATGTTATAAGTATAAAAAACCAAAAAACCGAAGAATCAAACCAGTCAAAAACTAAAATTGATCAACCGGGCAACCGGTGGTCAAGGTTCAAAGTATCGACATGTATCGGTTTGTATCGGCCGATGTGTTTCATGCCGATGGCTTCCCGATATGCCCATACAGGGGTTGTATCGGGTCAGCCACTGGTTCAGAGGGTAGCCGGGCCTTAAAGTGGCCCCTCTGAACCAATTTCAAAAAAAAAAAGTGAAACGGAAAAAAAAAAGCACCGACACGGGCAGCCTGTGTCTATATTTAGAACCTTATTGGTGGTATCAGTTCAATTTCGGTTTGGAGATATAGAAAAACTGGCAGGACTGGTTTGGTTTCAAAAAAACCCCTATGGTTTGGTTAATCGAATCATGAGCACCCCTAATGGTTAATTGCTTAATTGCTTAATTTTGGATAAAAATTAGCACTGGGGCACTTATATCACTGTGGTGCCAACCATCCATTAGATGGCCCTGATTACCACTGTAACTAGTTGTAAATAGTTTCTCTTGATCCTTGAATTTGTTGCATCTTCTTTGACCGGAACAGAAAATTAATCTTAACAAATAACAAAAATCAATGGAAAATGTAGTCCTACCTTTCTTGATCCCTGAATTAGTCGTATGCATCAGAATCTACCCTATTTCATTCATAACATGAACCGAGCAAACAATATTCTAGTGTCAAGTGTAGTTAGCACCATTCAGATCACAGGAATCATTTTGCATTTGCTGCTACCCTTGGACCCGTTAAATGCATTACAGAATATGCAATGGTAGATTTCAAGTGGGCCGGGCAGCTGCCTCATATTCTTACTTTAAGTTCTAATAATTAAAAAAAAAAGATTTTTTTTAATTGTTTTTAAGGGAGTGAGTGAACACAGTGGGATTATTCCCACGGCTTCTTCAAACGAGAGCATATTAATCTGATGACTCAAATACATTAACCCAGCCCATTGGCCAAGAGATGAAGAGATAGACCCACCATATTTCTTAATCAGATGCCAATATGTAAAGCCTTGAATATATATATACACAAAGGAATTGGAAAAGGCAGCCGAATGCCTATACTGAACTGCCTGAACCATACTTATAATAAGCTTGCATATATGGCATCCACAAAGTGATGCTTCTTGGCTCCGGTGTGGGTGCTTTCTGATTCCAATAACAACAAACAAGGACACCACCCCTGTATTTAGATGATTAGATCTGTGCCTGCTTTAAAAGGGTATAGACCAGAGTATGATATATATGCTGGTCAATGGCAATGAATGGCCTATGGTTTTGTTTTTAATGGTTCTATTTTTCCTCAAACAGCAACATGACACCATAAATGTCGTCTGCAACATTTCTATTAGAAACCTGTTTGCTGAGGCAAGGCAATGCCCATGTGGCATTTAAGTGCTTACTGTGCTTTTACTCTTGTTATTAAAAAAAAAAGCTACTCATTTTTCAACGCCCTGTAACACCAAAACCGTATTTCCACCAACACTACCAGAGCTGGTGAGATGTTCTGTTTTGGAGTAAAACAAGGGTTAGCAAACATGTTCTTTTTGCCTGTGTTTCCTCCAACATGCTGATGTGGAAAAATCATGCAGTGCAACAATCAAGACGCAACCATGCCAAACACCATCAAAATATGCACATTTTCAGATGGCTTATAACCTCATTAGCTACCTTGGTCAACCAAATTAGAGAACTTGTTAATCGGGTGAATATACTAAGGCAGAGAGACCAACAGATGTAGGGCCATTCCTGAAAGGCTGAAAGTCGGTGCTTATTTTCAAGTATTAAAGCACAGGAAGAGCATGACTTTTTCATGTTCTTATTGTAAAAATAAGCACTTATTTTATATTGAGTGTTTGATAGTCTTTTTCTACAATAATCACTTAAACAAGCATTTGTGATTATTTTGTCTTTCATTTTCTTTCAAAATTTCAAAATATACCCTTATGAAAGTACTTTTACTAAATAACTTTTGTAAAAACATTTTTATGAAATCACTTTTACAAAAGCATTTTTACGAAAGTACTTTTATGAAAGTATTTTTGTAAAATTCAACTAAGGATAATTTTATAAGTGATATTTTAAAATTCAACTAGGGATAGTTTTGGGAAAAAATCGAATAAATGCTTATTGTTTAAGCACTTTAAAAAAGCTGGAAATTTGGACAAAAAATAAGCCCTTATTTTTAAAATAAGTACTTATTTTGGGTCTATTTTTCAAACACCAATAAGTGCTTAATGATGTGCTCCCAACCCAAATAAGCACATATTTTTAAACACTACCAAACACGGCCGTGCTTAAGTTAAAAATAAGTGCTTAAAAACAAGTGTTTATTCGAATAAGCACTTATTTGCATTTGACAGCCAACTTTTTTCAAGTGCTAAAAAATAAGCACTTACTTTGTATTGGGTGTTTGGTAGTTTTTTCCTCTCATAAGCACTTAAATAAGCATTTGTGATTATTTTGTCCTCCATTTTTATTCAAACTTTCAAAGTATACCCTTTGAAAACACTTTTATAAAAACACTTTTATAAAAGTACTTTTACGAAAGCACTTCTATGAAAGTACTTTTATGAACACTTTTACAAAAGCAGTTTCATAAAGTATTTTTACAAATGCACTTTTGAGAAAGTACCCTTAAGAAAGTACTTTTATAAAGTGCTTTCATAAAAGTTCTTTCGTAAAAGTGCTTTTATAAAAGTGCTTTCGTAAAAGTGCTTTCATAAAAGTACTTGTTTAAAATTCAACTAGGGATAATTTTGGAAAAAAAAGTTGAATAAATACTTATTGTATAAGCACTTAAAAAATGCTGGAAATTTGGGCTTAAAAAATAAGCCCTTATTTTTAAAATAAGCACTTATTTCAAGCTTATTTCCAAAATACCAATAAGTGCTTAATGGCCCAAATAAGCACTTATTTTTAAGCACTCCCAAACATGGCCTAAGTGCTTATTCAAATAAGCACTTGTTTTTAAGCACTTATTCAATAAGCACTCCCAAACATGGCCTTAAATAAGCCTTTTATATGAAGTGTAATCTGTTGAAAAAGGGGATGTTCTCCAATGTATATTGTTTTTCTTGTTGCAAGTTTCCAAAACAAATCAAAACGTTTGAAAATAAATTAGTTCTCAAAACAAAAAACAAAATATGTTGTTGATTGTACAAGTTTTTTGTTTCCAAAAATGTGATCTTGAATTACCAGTTTAAAGAATATGTTTTCGTTTGGTAACTTGATATCATGTTTCATAAATCATACAGTATCGGCATCCAAAATTTGTTTTTGTTTTAAAAACAATTATTTTGATGGTTTCAGAAACATAAATTGTTTTCTGAAACAAAACGAACTTTTTTTTTTTTGCTTCTCAAAAMAAAAAACAAACGGTTCAAGATTTTTTTTCTTCTTTTTTTTTCAGATGGAGCAATTTTAAAAACAAATAAATACAGAAACGCTCATGTTTTAGAACACACCCTACGATTACAGCAAGCTTTATAATAGGTAGGCACAAGGATATGGGGAAATAAGTAGAGGCTAGAATAGAATCACATTTCATTTCCTCCCATCAAATTGAAAACGGCTCCTATGCTGGATTCAAACAGAGCAATATACCACTATTCCAATTGCATCATTGAACTTAAAGGACTTGACACTCTTAGAAGCAAAGTGTTCCATGTAAATTCCATAAAATGCACAAGATGAAAAAACACAATACTTGCATGATGGAGTATCTCAGACAACAACAGGAGGAAAAAGGGAAACATGCTAAATTATCACTGCAGTTCATGCTTGTCACTGGCATGAGATGAGGATATTGAGGTCCACAGTTCATGCATGAAATGAGATATAACAAAAGAAGGTCCCAAGAATAAACCTTTAGGTTCATCTATCAAATGTAATGGCTGAAAATACAAGAGGATAGTGAATACAAAATTAACAATAAAGAATAGAATGGATGATGGATGATATATAAATATGCCAATTCTCTCACAAAAAAAAAAATTATACCTATACCTTTCTAATTCACACATCAGATTACAACATCTATAAAGTACTTACCCATATAGGATGGACAAACCTCTAAGTTCATTTAAATCTAACTGAACTTAGATCAGTAAAGTTCCGAACTAGAAAGTAATCTCACAGGGTGCATGAAATGTTCTTCCACGACATATAGCTTCTAAATTTTCTCCCGCATAAGAGCAGAGGGGTGAGATCTCTACACCTGGGTTCAACATAAGAATCCAAAGAAGCAAAAAAAGGTGTTAATATAGAGATAATTAAATTTTAATCAAATCTTGTTTGAGAGTCTATTTCTCATACACTATGTTAGTCTGTTTGCAATAGTTTGAGTTTTAGCAATAAGCACTTGTAGCTTCCCCATTTACACATAAAACCTAAAAGGATTGAGTGCTCAAGAGAATGTTGATGATATAGATAGGGCCAGGCTTTCAGGGGTGTCTAGCACTTCGCTTTTATGATTTGTTGGGTGACATCTGTCACAACCCATGACATGAGCATGAAGGAATTAAAACAGCAAAAATTACCAGTTGCATATAATGGCACTGAATGTGTCAAGAAGCCACCTGCTGCAACCACCCAACGAGTGTGAAGACGGAGAACAAGCAAACGAGCACTATCGGGGGTATCAAAAGTTGACCCATTGGCATTTTTAACTGGTGCAAATTCCTCTTCACGTAAGACCTGATTATAGGAGTAAATCATTCCAAGTCCCAAAAAATTAGTGTAAACCAAAAATGGGCATTATTTCACTTCTGAAATAAAGGATGAAGGAGGACTGTAGGGGTTGGAAGGGAAGAAAGGGATCCACCTCAAAAAGAGCAGTTGAAGGAGCATATGTGAATGCATCAAATATGAATTGTTCCAACTTTAATCCCACGGTATATCCATGAATTGAAGGGATTTTCTTCTCAGCAAGGTGGAAACTGCATTCAATTGCATGGTACCAAGTTTTCCAGCATTAAAATAAATATTAGCAAACGAGTCCAAAAGTCTTCAAGAAAATGTCAATAAATATGAAACTGATTTATTCTGATAAATATTACAAAAAGAAACAAAAAACTTGCTCTGACCAGAAACTTGTTTAGCGATCCCATCTTAACTATAAAGAGAAATGAAGAAAAAAAAATTCCACAAACAAGAAAACAAACTACATCTATGATATGGGCATGCAATGCATTTAAACTTAAGAATTTATAGAGCAACAGAAAACTGCATGAAAAAACTTAAAATTCACAATGAACTGATCATAGATCCATAATTTTCATCCAAGTATAATAGACATATGGAATAGAAAGATAATTTAAGCAATATCCACTATTGACCCTGTAAAGCAATGACCAAATATCAGAGAAGCATTTCTTCATTTGTTGAATCTTTTACAGAGGTTTGTGCTGTTATCATCCATTCTGTTAAAGAAAAACAATTGGATTTTTTTTTTCTTTTACAAAACAGTGGACAAAAGTTTATTAACATTAGGGGAACAAGAAATACATTCAAGGTTTTAAGTGTTGGGTTGACAGCTTTTGTATAAGAGATAAAAACTAGTGTCTAGATAACATCACAAGAAAGTTTGATAATGTTTCAAAAAAGTCCCTCTTTAAGGAAATCCTTCCTACAAGCAACCCAAAAGTAAAGGATTCTTACTGTAGAATGATATATAAAAGAGAACCAACATCCCAGGAAAAAGCCTTCACAGTTTTCCACCCTCTAATTCATGTCACTCATGCAAGTTTCTTTCTTTTTTCTTTTTCTTCATCTATCTTTTCTGTGTTTTTTTTTTTTTTTTGGGGGGGGGGGGGGTGCAAGTTTGTTGTTTCTAAAACCTTCATTGCTGATGAGTCATGTGAGTCTCTTACCAATGGAATATGGTGTTCTATCTTCTTTATCAATCCTCCATCAGCATCTACATTAAATTGAGAGGTGAAGCTAAAGGATTTTTGTTGCTTCCAGAATTCATGGGCTGCCAAGCGTGAGAATGCAGATTCAAATCTGAGAGCAGTCACTTTGTGCAAAAAAATGCCAAAGGTCAGGACTGTATCCAGCCACCCCTCCCAAGACCCAGATACCTAGGACCAACATTAGGGAATGGCCTTTTACTAGAGACTCTTCTAATTCCAGCTTTCGGTCCACCCTGAATTGAATATGTTTCTAAAGTTGGAACATTGTTATAATTGTTTTATAATTTGGTGATGTTTATATTGGTGCTATCATCACCCTATTACTTGACGTCAAGGATCAAAATTTCAATATACCCTGATACACCGGCTGGTGTGTCACAGGTGTTTCGACCCCTTGCTTTATTTTTTCAGTTTTTTTTTTTTTTTTCAAAAATTGGCTAGTGCAGTCGATCTAAGGCCTGCCTACCCCCTGAAATGTCTCAAGACCCCAAAAGCTGCTTATTTGGTGTATTTGTGATCTATCAATATGATATGTATTGGCTAATACGTTGTGAAATTTTAATCCTTTCTTGGTGTACCTCTCTTTTTCATTTTAATAAAAATCTTCTACGCTTTACTATCACAATGCTGGACAGCTGGAGGGGTTTTGTCAAAATGGTGTAGTTTCTGATTCTTCAGATGAAGCATCTTCCTTGGGCAGTGATCCAGAAGAAAGTTTGGATAGAGTGATCTAGATGTATACCAGTCCTAACAATTCTTCCATATCCATTAAGCAATTTCTGAAATTAGATAGAATTAGGTATGGGAGTCACAGGACAATTAAGTACTTCAGGCAATTGGATGTATGTGAATGGCTATAGTCTTATACTCTTATAGAGCAAGCTGAATGGATCTGTGCAAAGAAGATAATGTAGTGGGTGCTCTGGTTTTGAGGATACTAACATAGGAGCTAATTTCCTCCAAGGGAGTGTCATATCTATTCAATTTGCTTGGCCTGGGGAAGGTGGTGGGCAGGAAGATGGCCATTAAAGGTTGGGGAAGAGGCAAGTGTAGAATAGCAGTTTGTAAATAAGTACCATTGCTATTGTTTTTGGTTGTTCTTGAGCAGAGTGTGTTACAGAGTGAGGTGGTCACTGTAGGTAGGGATCTTTAGATTCCTAGAGAGGTGGGTGCAAAAGGGATGGGCTTTAGTTAGGCTCTTCCTGACAAATGGCAATCCTTTATTTGCAATAATAAAATGAATGAATAAACTGTGGACCTAGTGACACTACACAAATATTAGGTTCTTTGAACATTCAGTTCCCATAAAAGTTTGCATTTGGAACACACACACACACACACACACGAGAGAGAGAGAGAGAGAGAGAACACTGACATGCTGTCTTTCTCAAGGCCATTTGCCACTTGATTTAGAAAATCCAAAGTAAACATATGTAAGCACACCTGGAAAGCACACAACAAAAAAGTTTGAGAACTCAACATAAGATAAGTAATCTTAGACTAGAAAATTCTTGGGAGGATCTCTTAAGAACACAACTTCATAGAGCACAAACACGACTTTCTATAGTTCAAAAAGTTGACAAAACATTAATAAGGAAGCTTAGCATGCAGTTAGTGACAGGCTAATACTGCCAAACATCCTTAACTTAAAACTTCTTAGGAACAATTCACACTTAAATTTCAAAAGGCTAAAATCCTGTAACTTGGAAATGAAAGAACCAAACCTACACACACACACACACAGGATTGGGGGACAAGAAAAAACAGCTGAGATCACTAACTGCCCACTCTATGTTTGCAGTACCTGAAATATCTACATGTTTTCCATGAAGAAATTGAATGAATGAATTCACCTTTCTACTGCCTTTCTACTGAAACAAGCTTAAGGAACTACCGAGTAAAATCCATGGTAGACTGATAATGCAAACTTCCAAATTGTCAGTAACATGAAATGCAAAGAGGAAATTGTGAACACAATATCTTAATTGAAAAACCATGCAATTTCACCCAGCAAGGATGGCAACTAACATACATGATATCACACTCATCTCTTTAAACATCACTGTGAAATTTTGGGCTTGAAAATGTATGCACAAGTAACATAGAATTACAATCAAGGCTACTGATACTAAATCAAAGACGATGGACGGAAACTATACATTACTCCAACAAAAGCGAAGCCGTCCAGTCTCTTGATTGATTTCAGAAGCCAGCATTGGATCTAACTCACTATACTCAACCACAGCGAGAGGGCCACCTTTACCTCGTCGGACAAAAACACCAACCTTTTCTTGTGGGTATGCCTGCTACAAATTAAATTTTTGAAAGTATATTAGTAAATAATTTGACCATTTTGATAAAATACAATGGTAGTAACATTCTGAAGTAATAGTAAATAGATACAGGTTACCAACATAAGTAATGCAAGCAATCCATATACATTACAGCATTATAGAGTTTAGTAAAAATGGCTTCTAAATGAGTTTTTTAAGTTTAAAATAAGAATCATATATAGTTGTTTTCTGCAGATTCTTGTATTTGCATCTTCTGTTTGTAAGGATCAAAAGTGCTACACTAGCATTTGATAACAAAGTCATTAAGTACTTCCTGGAGAAGATAGAGGCTACAACTGTGGAAGTCATATACCTTCTACACATCAGACCCAAGGTTTAAAATGTTGGTATTGGTGGGAATGAAAGTCATCCAAATATAGGAAATATGTTGGAAATGTTGTATGGAAATAGTGTATAAATTATAGACTATTTTTTTTTCTTTCTTTTATTCCTTCCTTTCTTTCTTCCCTTATTCTTTTCTTTCTTTTATTCCTTGTCTCATATTAAAACACATGTAAGGAGATAACCATCTACAGCCTTGTCTATGAAACTTGGTTGACTATGGCTCCTTACTCCATCTTAACCCATAAAATCACTATTTTACATGTAAGGAGACAATTATCTACAGCCTTGTCCATGAAACATGGCTAATTATGGTTCCTTATTTCATTTTGACCTTGAAAATTATGAGTTTGTGTGGGGTAAGTGTTAAGAGTGTAAGGGCATTCCTGTCCTTTTATGAATATTTGTATTTGGATACCTATTCAAGGGCACATTTGTAATTTTGCTTGTGAAGTAAAACGAAAAGTCTCTTGGTGTGAACAATAACACACCAAGCATTCTTGACACTTTCTTCTTCTTCTTCTTCTCAACATCTCTAAACCTTCCAACTTGGTATCAAAGCATCTCACGATCAAGGAAACTATCTGCTGTTGATTGTGACTCACAGACAGGCCTACTGGCGTCAGCATGGCGCCGGTTGACGTCAGTAGTCCGTACAATCAGCGACATCCTCATGGGTTTTTGATGATCATTGATTCACCTTGATTTTAGGGGAATTTTGGTATAAGTTTCATGGTGGTTTGAAGCTGTTTTAGATTTTTCTTGGATTTTTTGGATGAAAATTGGCGAAAAATCCAGATCTAGAGTTTAGGGCTTGCATGCTAGTATGGTGGGTTGGTTGCTGTTGAAACCTCTTGTATTTGAGTCATGGTAAACCCTTGGAACTATAGGAAATAATCCTGAATTTTTTGGAGCCCTAAAACCTTTTTGGGAATTATTTTTCTTCCCATGTTTTGTCGCCAGTACCTACTTTTCTTAGTTTTTAGTTGTAACTCGTGTCTAACCTTGTGGGAAAGGTGTTTGGGAGTTCAGCTAGTGTTGGAATATTGTGGTGCTGGTGAGAAATATTTTTTTTTGGAGGGGTTGTGATCAATGGACTCACACAAAGACATCCGCATACGTATCTCTTGGGAAGCGATGACAACGCCGAAGGGCAGATCACTACTGTAAAACTTGATGGAACAAATTTGCTTGAATGGTCTCAATCATCCAAGCTTACAATCAGTGGAAGAGGTAAGCTCGAATTTATTACCAGTAAGGAAGCTAAGCCGAATCTTGAAGATCCAAACTGTTCCATGAGATTACTATGAAAATACTCCTTTGCGTTGTTCGACTGGAAAATAAGAATCTCAGTCTGGAATTGAGTAAAAATCATGCGTTGAAAATCTTTTACAATCTTCAGCACCCCATCTCTAGATCGCATAGGATAAATACAGGTATACCTAGAGTAGTCATCAATTAAAGTAATGAAATACTTAAAGCCAATTTCAGAAGGTAAAGTAACAAGGCCCCAAACATCAGAATAGACGATGTGAAAAGGAAATTCATATCTTTTATTTCTTAAAGGAAATAACTTCTACAATGTTTACTCAATTGACATGTATGACATTGCAACTCATTTAATGATAAAGACTTAAAATAAATCTGGAAATATAACCTTTAACGACTCAAAAGAAAAATGACCAAGACGATTATGCCATAAGTAGGCTTGACTCTCACTAGGCAGACTCGAAGACTTTGCAACTATAAGAGTAGCTTGATTCTCTAACACGTAGAGACCATCCACCATACTTACTTTACCAATCGTCCTCCCTAAGGTCAAATCTTGGGACACATAAGAAGGAAAGAAGGTTACTGAGTAATTTAAAGAGTGAGTAATACTACTGATGGAAAGTAAATTTGTAGGCAATTTTGGAACATACAACACATTTGAGAGGGTAAGGCCAAATAGAAGGGAGATGGTTCCTTCATCGGCTATGATAGAGAATCAACCATCATCTAGTCTCACCTTATCTCTTCTAGAGAGGAGGTTATATGTCTGAAACAAATTTGACATACCAGTCATGTGATTTGAAGCTTCAGAGTTAATTGTTCAAGGGATTCAGATGTATGAGATGACACATGGTAGTAGCAGAGTTACCTGATGTAGACGCAAAAAAAGTAGGAGTAGGGCCAGAATCCACCTGACGAAGTGTCCTACCATATAGCTCCAAATGGTCACGAAAAGAATTGATAATCTCTTCCTTGGGATCAGAACTAGAGGGATGTCCTTGAGGTACCGTGGGAATAGTTTCTTGAGAGGCAACATTTGCTGAATTGTATTTCTTCTGATTCTACTGACTTGGCTTTTTTCCTTGATCAAATGCTGATTTTTTACTCAATTCCTTAGCCCACTTAGGCTTCCCATGGAGATCCCAACATGTGTCTCTAGTGTGCCTAGACTTTTGTCAGTGTGTACATTAAAGTTTGTCTTTATCATCCACCCTCTTTTGAAAGTCACCCTTCTTAAAAGAACCCCCTCCATTTCCACTTGTACCTCCCTTGACTACTAGGGCAACCAGTTCCCCGTTTGAACAATTCATCACACTTCTACTCTCCTCAGACTAGACTAAGGCATAGACCTCCTGGACTGAAGATAGGTCCTTGCTTCTCAATACCTGTACTCTGATAGACTCATATATAGGATTCAGCCCCAAGAGAAAAGCAAATACCCTCTGCTAGGAGACAAGGGACTTGTAAGCTTTTGCATCTTCATCACACTTCCAATTCATACTTTGATAATGGTCCAGCTCTTTCCAGATTGATGTCAAATCTGAGTAATATATTAAGAGACTCCTCTCCCCTTGCTTACAAGTGGATGATTTATCTTGCAATTGGTAGATCTCTGCATAGTGTCTTTGTTCTAAATAGGTAGATTTTGCTTGTTCCCATATTTCACAAGCTGTTTGAGCCCACATAAAAGTTTTCCTCACTTGTGGCAGCATGGACACCAAGAGCCACAACATCACCATACTATTCTCTTGATCCCATCTGTCATGTTCAGCACTTCTAGTCTTTGGTTCCTTCACCTTACCATTGATATACCCTATTTTTCCCATGGCAGTAATGTAGAGCTTAATTCCCCTGGACCATTCAAGGAAATTGAGTCCATCAAAGGGAATCACAACCACAAAGAAACTCATATCCATCCCCCCACTCTTTTCGTTTTGACTTACACTAACACCTGAAGTTGCAGAATTTTCAGAGGACATAATTCTGTTCACTATTCAGCTCCAAGTACACACCCAAGGGTCTGTCCTGACACAAATCAGTCCTAGAAACACACTAGAACTACAGTTCACATACTGCAGTCTGGACACAATCTGGACACAAACCAGCTCTATTTTTTCCCAAAAAACAAATTTTAGGTTATTTTTAGGGTTGAAACAGACTCCACAGTCACAGTCCACCACAATTCCAGACCATGTTATCACCTCAACCACCAGGAGGGACCATGAGCAATGTTGCCAGTCAAAAACAGGTCATTCGCGACCTACAGAATTCTCATTCTTAGGTATAAGGATCACACGATTGACAGAAAAAGGGTTAGAAACCGAATACACACTTCCTCACAGCATTTAGAAACTTCAGTATCTGTTTTTCTTGGTACACGACCTAGGGGGAGAAGAAAGAGGTAAAGAACTCTGCTGTATCAGTCAAAAGTTGATCCTTTTGATCTCGGTCTGAAGTAGGAAGCAAGAAGAAGAGAAAAAAATTGATCGATCTGTTCTTAATCCCAGTCGTTATGCTCTGCTACCGTATTAGAAGAAAAAAACAGTAGAAAAAATAAAAAAGAAGAAGAGGAGGAAGAGAGAAGAAAGAGTTGCGATCCAAAAATAGTTCTGGTGGTGCCAGAATTTATTAATATATATAGGGCAGCACTTAAAACAACCATAAAGACATATTTACCCCTTGTGGCACCTAGAACAGATAAAACTATCTATTCTAACACAAACCACCCTCTCAAAATTGTTTCCTGGAATCCCTTTGTGCATCTTAATGATCTCTCTTTTCTAACTCCATAAAAATAACCAATCAAAGAAAAAAAATCCATAGAAGCTTTTTTTTTGATAAATAAAATCATCTTCCATTAATTTAATGATTGGTTACATGAAAATACCCTTAGAGGCGCGAGGTGCCGCCTCTCCAAACAGCAAATACAAAAACTACAACAGAGATTACATGAATGTTGATGTTAAACAAGAGTTACAGTTGTGCCCAGAACAATATTTCCCTATTTATCCCTTGTTTTGCCAAGACAAATCGGCAAATGCATTAGCTGATCTACCAACCCACTGTACTGTTATAGACATATTTCTTGTCAGCCATTTGAATTTCTTTAACTCATTTTTGTAGCCCCAAGTGACATCCTCCGGATTATTTAACCAGTCCACCACTATTTTAGAATCTCCTTCAATCAGAAGCTGTTCCACTTCCACTTCTTTTGCAAGAAGTATTCCTTGTATCGCAGCTAACAGTTCTGCCTGGATAGAGTTCCCAACACCTAAAGGGCCATAGTAGAGTAAGACAACCTCTCCAGAGTCATTCCTCAGTACACCTCCCATCCCAGAGGGACCCGGGTTACCCTGGCTACTCCCATCAAAATTCAGCTTCAAAGAACCAAGAGGAGGGGGGACCCAGCTAGTCAATACCCTTACCTTGTAGGAGGAACAGCTTGCTACCAACTTCCAATCCTTCCAACAATCAATAAAAGAAAAATGGTTAAATAATTGTAGAGTCTTTAACCAATGTATTGACTTGTACATAATGCAGTCCTTTAAGGCTTGACTGCTCCTTCCTTTTTCTTGGAAGATCCTAGCATTCCTTTCTTCCCACTGTCCATAACAATACTGCTTGCGTGCACCTCCACATTTTCCTTCCTCTTTTATGGGGCCAAGAGAAAAAAGAAGGGTTAAAGATTGTGCTTACTTCTGCTGGCATATCCCAACTACACCCAGACAAAGATAGAAGCCAAACCCAGAGCTCTGTAGTTACACTACAAGTTAAAAATAGATGATTACAATCCTCACCATGAGATCTGCAAAGAATGCACGAGTTTGGTGAAATACAAAGGACGGGTCTTCTCTTTTGTAGGTTATCCATTGTGTTTACTTTACCATGCCACACTTCCCAACACAAGCCATAACCTTGGGGGGGACCGGCCTACACCAGACTTCTTTGGAAGGGAAACTTTGTTGAGAGGAAGTTTGGCAGAGGAAATTGAAAATGGAGCCACAAGAAAAAGACCCATTGGGGTGAATGGCCCAAATCCTTTTATTAGGTTTCGAGGGATCTAGCCAAACCTTATCAAGGAGACACAGAAGAGTAGACAAACACTCAATTTCCCCATCCCTTAACCCTCTTCGGAAACCAAAATCCCAAGATAACGCTGACAAATTTAAAATCAACGGAAGGAATTTTGAGATCACCTCTTTTTTATACAAAGAAACAAAGTACAAAGAAGGAAAAAGGTCTTTTAGAGGGAGATCTCCAACCCAAATGTCCTCCCAAAACCGAATAGAATTACTAGAACAAGCATCATGCCTGACACAACTGAGGAACTACAGAAGAATTTTCTGAATTGATTTCCATGGTGTGGCTAGGATAGCCCTCCTTGATGCACTAGCATCCCAACCACTCTCTGTACATCCATGAATACTCTTCACTACTTCGTGCCAGAGTCTATCTCGCTCCAAAGGCCACCTCCACAGCCACAAAGCTGAGTTTTTTTTTAAGCACATTCCCGAGCCCTAATCCTCCTTCCTCTTTGCTTCTACCCACAATCCCCCAATTAATTAAGTGATCTTTTATACCTTCTCCTGGTTCCCAAAGAAAATCTCTCATCAATTTTTCCAATTTCTTTGCTTCCCTAGATGATATCCTAAAGACAAAGAGGTAATAGGTAGGTAGATTCATGAGGGTAGCTTTTATCAAAGGGATCCTCCCACCCAAAGAGATATAATTTTTCTTCCACACAGCTAATCTCTTTTCGATCTTCTCCAAGACTAGGGTCCAGAACCTACTCTCCCTAGGGTTTGCTCCTAACGGAAGCCCTAAGTAGGACAAAGGCCAAGAAGAAATGGAACACTCAAGACAATCTGCAACTGCCTCAACCTCTTCAAAGTCTAGATTTACTCTGGCTATGCAGCTTTCTCCTAGATTGATTTTCAAATTGGGAACTCCTTCAAAAGCTCTAATCAATTCTTTCAGGTTTTCCACCTTCTCATTCGGTTTGTGCCTACTCTCCATCCCCTTATCACATCTTCCCTATCAGCCCTAGTTATAATTCAACTGAACACATCAGCTACCAAGGTAAAGAGAAAAGGTGAAAGTGGGTCCCCAAAAAATTATAAACAAAACTTTATTTCCTCTAGGTTATCATTGGATGGATTACAAAGACAACGAGAGAAGCTTGAGAGACATAATGAAGGACTCCCCCCCCCCCAACCATCAAATGTTTTTTCTTTCAATTTTATTCTTATTTCTTTTCATTTATTTCTTCATCTTGTAAGACAATTTTGGGGGATAAAACAAAAATCATGGGCCTAATTTTCTTCCCATTTTCTTTTCCTTATTAGGTTTTCTACCCAACTGCATTCTTGAAAATATATTTCCATCTTACTTTCTTTTCTTTTTTACTTTCTATGCAACCAAACACAGTCTAAGAAAATAAATAGACGAAAATTCAAAGCCTGAACTGCATCAAGAGTTTACTAAGAACTGTTTCACTAGGAACAATTTGATAATTTTGTGTCAATTACCTTACGGACAACTTTTGCTGCTGCAGCTACTCCTTTATCAATAAAATATCCTAAGGAAGTTGGATCCGCAACACGAACCTGATTTTAAGATATTGAAAACTATAAATCAAAAAAGAAGATGATTATCAGAAACCTTAGCAATGAGTAACAGAAGAAAGAGTCTCACCAATGCATTATCAACTCCATAGCAATCCAAATATCTCACACCTCTCATGGCCATATCCTCCAACAATCTTGAATATTTCAGAGCTGATTAATAAGTTCAATCAAAAAAAGAATCAGTATTTACTCACCAAATAGGAGGAAACCATGGGATTAAGATGCTGTAATAACCTAAAGATGATACCTGAGTAAACTCCCCCATTTCCATCTGGAGCCTTCGCTACCTGGCTTCAAAAAACACATATTAAATGTCTACTACAAGAGAAAAAGTATACTTCGAAAAAACTGTGCCTCCAAAAGATAGCAAAATAACATGATTATTGAATAGCAAAGAGTTATAGTATATATGAATCTCGAATTTTATTTCTCTTGCATGAGACCTAAAACCTGAGATTGGCATTACTAAAGGTTACAATCTATATAGAAGATTAACATTATAAAATTGTCTTCATGCAGTCTGCAGATCCTTATGAAACAGGAAAAATTAAGGAGATTATGAGGGTAAAGAAAGTGTAAAAGGAAGAGAAAGGGAGAAAAAAAAAGACAAATAGAAGAAAGAGGGAAGGGGAGGAAGGAGGAGAATCTCAAAACAAGGTTTATAATAGGAAAAGGAGACAATCAGAACTACTGCAGAGTCAGGAAGAGGAGAAAGGAAAGGAAAGAAATGAAGTAAACAAAACAAGGGAGGGGGAAGGAGAGGAGGTAACTTGCACTCCCCTCAAATTGTTCGAACTGATTCAGAGGTAATACAAGATGGGGAGGTTAATATAGAAAAGTTGGTAGAGAGGGAGGTTCAGATTGGGAAATCACTTGGATTAGTCTTCTGGGGTGGGGAAGGTTTTGCCAAAATTGCATTTGAGAAATTTGAGTAGAAGAAGAAAGAAGAGAAAGAGAGAAAAAGAGAAATCCTAGAGAAAAACAAGGGGTGGAACGAGGAAGAGGAAGAAGAGGAAAATTTGGACGAGAACGAGTAAAGAGGAATAGGACAGTGGGGGAGGGGGGAGGGGAAGAGGGATGAAGATTCTCAGTTGGAAGGTGGGAGGTTTGAGGAATGGAAAAGACGGAAATGGTAAGAAATTTAATTACAAACACCAAAACAGTTGTGGTATTGTTGGAGGAAACAAAATTGGAAAGTTTTGACTTGAGAATGAAACTGGATATTTGGGGAGAGGAGGGTGCAGAGTGGGTGGACTTACAAGCTTCGGGATTGTCAGGAGGGGTTGTGATAATTTGGAGTTCAGAAGTCTCCAAAGTTGATTTATTGGAAAATTTCTGGAATTCACTTGTGTTACAGCCTTGTAATGTAGATGCATTCTCAGTTTAAAATCCTGGACATGTAATTGAAGTATGTACTTGATGTTGGTGTGTCATCTAGACAACCAATGTGATAGGATGTAATCTTTGCTTTTAATAAATTTTCTTTCTTCTTGATTCTTCAAAAAAAATTAATCAGTTCTAGTTAGAAGACACTAACTTGGAAATAGGATCTACAAAATTCCACATCAATGAAATAGGAAACCAAGGTATCAAATCAAAATAGTGGATACCACTAGTAACTTGGAAAATAGGCAAGACCTTGGTTCTTACCAAACTTGGTCAACATTTCTCCTTTTCCACATTTTTCTTATGGAAACTGTTGCAGTCATCACTTCTTTGACAATATGACACTTAAAGGAACTATCCTAATCACTTCTTCCCTATTTCCTACTTATGTTCACTTTAAATTATTTCAATCATTGTTTCTTTAAAATCAACAGGAAGCATAATAATCATCTGGAACTGAAATTCTAGCATGCATAATTGAATTCATCCATGGATGCTATGTTGAGTTGAAAGCAAGCATAACGAGTGAGGTTGAAATACCAAAAGATCACTGGGCCATCTAATTAATATTTTCAGATTGCTCCAAACCATAAAAATAAAAATAGCATGTAAAGAAACAGGTCAAATCATACTTTATATGGACTCTCCATGATAAATCTGCCATCTTTAGAAATACAAGGTATAGTACCTTGTTGGAAGAATGTGACCTGCAGTAAAGAAAAAGATCTCCATAAGATAGAGAGCGAGAGAGCCAATAACAACAATAACGAAGTGTAGATATCTTACTTGATCAGGTTCAAGGCCAAAATATTTATGACTTTCAAAAAACTTGCGTGTAGCATCATCAGTGAATGGGCTAGTCATTATATACCAATGTATTGGCACAAAACCAGCTGAGCCTGCAGATAATAATATATAAGGAAAGAGATGAAAGAAAAACGTTAGGATTACAAGTGATACAAATTGGAATAAACTGAAAGTAGAGAAAGTAAAATCTTACCCTCATTTACAGATTGAGCTGCAAGTCTTTGAACGCATAAAATTCTTTCTGCTTGGAGTTGAAATAATGACTTTCCTGATGGAAGCCCAATGTCTAATATAATAGAAAGTAAAAGGTATAAGCAAATGGAACCATCTGAACTATAAGATGATCCAACATGGCAAACTACATTATTAAAATTTAAAAGCTGCAGGACTCTGTATATTAATGTTTTTTAAACCAATAAACACAGAACTGTCACTAGACTTCTGAAAAAAAAAAAGAGCCAAGATGTTATCAACAGTTTTGGATATACTATGTTTTCATAGTAACTATAAAGCTAATGAATGTTCTGATTTAAGATCCCAGATACAGATGGAATACACAGACGTAAATCTTCATTTCATAAAAGCCAGGATAAATATGTATCTGGATTTCCTACTCAATACTTAATATCATAATTTCTATTTTCAGTTCCCAAGGTACTTATCTTTTTTAAAACTTATATCCAATCAAATTTGAAGGAAATTATTATATTTATTTGTGAAAAATACCATTTGTATTTTTAGGGAGATAAGGCAACTGACAGTATAGGCATGAATTTGCTAAAGTGGACACAATGAACTGCCAACAGTTACACTGATGCATTATCCAAACAAGGAGCTAACAGGGAGAGATTATTCTGGGGTTTGGTCCAATAGGATAAATGATTGGGTGTTTCTGACACAAAACTATGTACATACTATTCTTTTGAAACAACTAATAAAGATTTACAGTTATTAGTAAAAAATATACTGTTTGTATTTTTCTATGGAAACAAATAAGTAAATTGTTATAAATTATGAGAACATTATTTTTTATCAGTAACATAACTGAGACATTATTGATTATGAAACCATTTTGATATACACCACCTACTCTCCAAGTGCATGAGATATAGATCTAGATCTAGATGACAACAAAATCTATCAAAACAGCAATTCAAGTAAGAAGCCAGTGACCTTATAATAAGTCTTAGAGTCCATGGTCCTTCCACCCCCAAAAGAAACCAAGTTCCAGCTACTTGGCAGTCCCCTTGAACAATTAAACACTCCAACCTGCAGCATATGCTAATTTTAATCCTTTGAGTAGTGCAACAAGCTTGGCCCTTGGAGGACTCTCTACTCCAACTGGGATAAATATGCATATGTTTACTGCATGATTTCTGAACTCTCCCCACACGAGATTGTCTTAGAGTACCCAGAGAATTTCCACCAGAATTAAGGTTTCATCATCATATGGGGTTGGCGACATAAATCTTGTCATCCCATTCCATTCCTTTTAGTTCCATATACATTGTTAAATTATGAGCCTTTAAATAATTTCTTATTACTTCAACCCATATCCTTTTTGTTCTTCTCCTTCAACTTGTAATAGATCACTTCTTACAGGTGCTGTACATAGTCTTCCATGCATACCACCAAGCCATCTTAGTCTAATTTCTCTCATTTTATCAACTATCGGAGCTACTCCTAGGCTCCTTCAATTAAATTAATTTCTGACCTTGTCCCTTATAGTTTGCCCCTTCGTCCATATCAAAATTAGCATTTTTTACTACACTCGTGTTTTGGATATGTTGTTATCCTACATTCATTTTCTGGCCTTACAACCATTTTATAAAAAAATTCCTTTTAGCCTACGTGGTACTTGTTTACCACATAAGACTCTCTTGACAGTAAATCTGATTGAAGGTTACAACAAAGAGAAGAGAAGAGAAGAGAAGAGGAGAGGAGAGAAGAGAAGAGAAGAAGGAAGGAAGAAATGTTGAGGCAATGGAACAGTGCTGGTGGCGCCAGCTTCATTATAATATATAGGGTGAAAAAATAAGAAGGGAAATGACCCTTCTGCCCCTACTAAGTGATAGTACAATAATAGATTAAAATAAAAAAGGATTTAATCAGCCAAACAGACCCTAACAAACATAAAATCAATTATTTTAACACTTTCAACACTCCCCCTCAAGTTGGAGCATAGATGTCAATCATGCCCAACTTGTCACACAAATCATTATGCCGCACATCATGAAGGCCTTTGGTGAAGATGTCTACAAGTTGTTCTTCTGAGCTAACATATGGGGTGCACACTTCTCCACTTACAAGTTTCTCTATAATAAAATGCTTGTCCACTTCAATGTGTTTCGTCCTATCATGGAAGACTAGATTAGCTGCAATGTTGATAGCAGCCTTATTGTTGCAATAGAGTGACATAGGGTTGCTAACTATAAAACCCAATTCTCCTAATAGATTTCTTATCCACATGATTTCAGCAACTCCATGAGACATAGCTCTGTATTCTGCTTCAACACTAGACCTAGCCACCACACTTTGCTTCTTACCTCTCCATGTGACTAGGTTTCCCCCTACAAAGGCACAATATCCACTGGTAGACTTTCAGTCATCAACTGCCCTTGCCCAATCAGCATCAGTATATACCTCCACCTTTAAATGTCCATGTTTCTGGAACAGAAAACCAGCTCCAGGAAACTTCTTGAGGTATCTGAGGATCCTTTCTGCAGCTTCAAGGTGAGTTGTCTTAGGATTGGCATGAACTGATTAAGGACACCCACTGCATAAGCAATATCAGGCCTGGTCATAGACAAATACAAGAGTCTCCCTACAAGTCTCTGAAACTTCTTCACATCTTTCAAGAACTCTCCCTGACTGTCTCCCAGATGATGGTTAGGTTCAATTGGTGAGTGAAGAAAACTGAAGAGAAGAGAGTTGAGGGTTTCGCAATGAGGGTCTGAGAAGAGGATTTCGAACTCACTCTCTCTCAGTCCCCTAACACTGTTTTATTAGAAATATTTGAATAATTACAAGGAGGCCCTTAGTTGGGCAAGAAATTGCACAAAATTTAATATTGACTGGATGGACCCAGAATAAGGCCCATTACAGAAAAGAAACATAAATAACAA